TCATAGGTGCAGATTCAGGACCTCAGTCTATCCTCATAGTGCAGATTCAGGGCCTCAGTCTATCCTCATAGTGCAGATTCAGGGCCTCAGTCTATCCTCATAGTGCAGATTCAGGGCCTCGGTCTATCCTCATAGTGCAGATTCAGGGCCTCAGTCTATCCTCATAGGGAAGATTTCTGATACATGGGATCATCTTTGTCATCCTCCTCTGTACGTTTTCCAGAGCATTTATATCCATTCTGTAATACGGTGACCAGAACTGAGCAGCATAGTCTAAATGAGGCCTAACCAAGGATATATAGAGTTGAAGAACAACCTGAGGACTTCTATTATTTATACTTCTAGATATGAACGATACAAGTAACTTTACTGAAGATACAATGACGAAGATACGAGATAGATAATGACTGAAGATACGATGGATGGAACCCAGGGTGAAACACGAGGAACAACCCACTTGTATTTATGTTTGGTCCCTTTGATCACTTCAACGTTGGTGTTGGCACCCGACCAAAAGATGTCTTAAATATTCTTTTTTCGTTGGTTTTTGGAACAGTGGACATTTATACACTTTTAAGAACCCTGGAAAGCATGAACGGGAACACTGCAGAACACTGGCCCATTGTGAGGCAGGGCAAAGTTACGTCGGCTTGCCCAAAGAGTCTAACCTGTTCGGTTTCAGGTAACATTGATAGAACTAGCGTTCTAGTTCACTGCAGACATTACACTGTCCAGTACACAGTACACTCGTCAACTTGTGTCGATGTTATTCGACCTCGCCGTCACTTGTTCACTTGTTCAAGATCAATATTCCCATGCTTAACATTGTATCATAGCAGGAAGAACTGCTAGTGATGCCTCTCTTAGCAAAGTTACGTTTGTAATGAATGGTTCAGAGAACCGACACGTTGATAAATTAGACACATGTGCAACTCTTGGGTATCTTTATTGAGGAAACGTTTCGCCACACAGTGTCTTCATCAGTCCATACAAAGGAGAATCTTGAAGAACAGGAGGAGAATGAGGTAATCAGTCCCTTAACCTTGAGTCGATGTGGTCAGTCCATCAATCTTGAATAAATACCGGTAGCATCAGTATTAGCAACGGTATTCTATACAAGATTGATGGACTGACCACATCGACTCAAGGTTGAGGGACTGATTACCTCATTCTCCTCCTGTTCTTCAAGATTCTCCTTTGTATGGACTGATGAAGCCACTGTGTGGCGAAACGTTTCCTCAATAAAGATACCCAAGAGTTGCACATGTGTCTAATTTATCAAAGTTACGTTATTTGTGTTCCTGCCTCAGTTCTCCCATGTTGCTATAACAGCACAGGTGCGAGTTATTACAAAGGGCGCTTCTGGAAAGTCATTTCCCTGGATTTCTACGCTTGAACGCAGCGTGGACTTGCAACTCTTTCTCTCAACTTTCCTCTGGGGCATTGCAACTTTGATCTGCGGCGTTCCCCACGCCATAGGAGTGAGAATGCTGATGCTAGCGTCTAGTCAGTACTTGAAGATTGAGACACTTATGCAGCATATGGGAATCTTTATTCAGGAAACGTTTCGCCACACAGTGGCTTCATCAGTCCAATACAAAGAGGAAGGCGTAAGGAGAGGAGGAGTATGAGGTAATCAGTCCCTCAGCCTGGAGTCGATGTGTTCAGTCCATCAATCTTGTAGAATGTACAGCATAGGGCCTGAACACATCGACTCCAGGCTGAGGGACTGATTACCTCATACTCCTCCTCTCCTTACGCCTTCCTCTTTGTAGTGGACTGATGAAGCCACTGTGTGGCGAAACGTTTCCTGAATAAAGATTCCCATATGCTGCATAAGTGTCTCAATCTTCAACTTGTCGGTTTTTTAGCCTGGTGGCTAAAGCTCCCGCTTCACACACGGAGGGCCCGGGTTCGATTCCCGGCGGGTGGAAACATTTCGACACGTTTCCTTACACCTGTTGTCCTGTTCACCTAGCAGCAAATAGGTACCTGGGTGTTAGTCGACTGGTGTGGGTGGCATCCTGGGGGACAAGATTAAGGACCCCAATGGAAATAAGTTAGACAGTCCTCGATGACGCACTGACTTTCTTGGCTTATCCTGGGTGGCTAACCCTCCGGGGTTAAAAATCCGAACGAAATCTTATCTTAAATAGTCAGTACTTCTAGGATATCAGCCTTCAGCGTTATTTACGACCTAAGTCAAAGAACAGTCTTAGTTTATCTATCTACCTATATCATTAAGTTACAGGCTTATTATCTTACCTAGAAAGTCTCAGAATAGGAGTTTCCTGTGGCAAACACTTGACTGTGTTGATTTGCAAGTCCTAATTGACGAAAGTTGCAGATTGGGACACGTGTGCAACATTTGGGTATCTTTATTGAGGAAACGTTTCGCCACACAGTGGCTTCATCAGTCCAAGAAAGGTGGAGAAAGCGGAGGAGTTTGAGGTAATCAGTCCCTCAGCCTGGAACTGATGTGTTCAGTCCATTAATTTTCAAGAAAGTACAGCATATGCCCGGGTAAGTGATTTATTGTAGTCAGGTGAGTTGAAGCAGGAGGAGGGGGAGTCACAGTGGAAAATCCACTAGTGTACGTAGGTTCTGCCCAGAGGTTGAACAAGATGTTGCAGTGCAATGGTTACCTTGTGACCACTTGTAGTATGGTATGCAACTCTCCCCCTTACTTCCCCTTGCACTGTGGGAAAGAGGGTTCACGACCCCTTTGCTTCCCCCTTTGTTGGAGGTAATCTCTGAATAGTTCGCGTGTATTTCAGCGGTGTGTAATAGCAGCTGTGAGAACGGCGGTGTATGCGTGGCACCTGGGCAGTGCCAGTGTCGTCGTGGCTTCAGTGGAGAGAGGTGCCAGCTAGACGTGGATGAGTGTGCCATGAACCTTCATCAGTGCCATGCTAACTCTCGCTGTGTTAACCTCCCTGGCTGGTATACCTGCCATTGTCTACCAGGATACACCTCACTCTCCACTGACAACAACCATGGTCTACTGTGTCAAGGTAAACTGTTGTACTGTCAACATGAATTACTCTCCTGTCATTCATATATACGTTTTATATATATATATATATATATATAATATATAAAAATATATATATATATATATATATATATATATATATATATAATATATATATATATATATATATGTATGTATGTGTGTACATACTCAGTTAATTGTGGTTGCAGGGGTCGAGACTCAGCTCCTGGCCCCACCTCTTCACTGTGTTTGTTTGTTTAAATATTTGTTTTCAAGTTTATTAGTAAAGTTTATATATGAAAAAATGTTGATAGAAATTTTTTTCATAGTTTAAAGACATTGAATAATTATTTTTAATATTTTTTTAACTGTTTTCAATTATTATTATTATTATTATTATTATGTCATTTTTCCCTTGAAGATGTGGATGAGTGCAGTGCTGGCACTGCAACATGCCACGAGAGTGCCACATGTGTCAACACAGAGGGCTCCTTCCTTTGCAGCTGCGACAATGGCACTGTCTGCTCCCATGGTCAGTCACCCTTCCCACTCTAACCTGACTGGCAGAAGTAACTGTCAGCCTACTTCCACACTGCCTGTAAAGTAGGGATCACGCATTTCAGGACTGTAGTATCCATCGTGAATGTTACACATAATTAATGGGAGTCTGCAGTCTTATCATCTGGTATCCTACTGGAATATGGCATGTGATATTGCTTTTTCACAAATATATGCATTTGTGGTTAGGAAATTCAAGTTGTATCATGGAGGTATACTTGCAATCTGCTGTGAGCCTATTTCTAGATTGTCTATAATGAAGGGATCACATGTTTTAAAAGTGTAGTAACCATCGTAAATGTTAGACTTAATGGGGGGCCTGCAGTCTTATCATTTGGTATCCTGCAGGGAATATGGCATGTGACATTACATTCACTTTATTGTATAAATATAATCTGGTTGGAAAATTCAAGTTTTTCCCATAGATGTTTGATTGCTATCTACTTTGAGCCTATTTCCAGACTGCCTATGTAAGGATCACACATTTTGAGAGCAACAGTCACTGTTGCAAATATTTGACTTAATGGGAACCTGCTGTCTTATCATCTGGTATCCTGCTGAGAATATGGCATATGATATTACACTTGTTTTGCATATGTCTGCTTGCAACTTGCTCTGAGCCTATTTCCAGACTGCTTAGAGCAAATTGCTCTACTGAGAGGAGCTTTAGGAGAGAGGTGAGATTAAATTAGGATCTTTATAGAGAGCTTAGTGTAAATTCCTCTACTGGGAAGAGCTTTATAAGATAGCCGAGTGTAAATTGCTGCACTGGGGAGTTTAGTGTAAATCTGGACTGTGGCTGAGGTACGGTTGTTCTCCCACACAGGGTGTGTTGTACACGGCTTAGAACGTGCGAATGGCGACGTGTGGAGCCCACCTGGTGTACAGTGTTCACAGTGTACTTGTACAGAGGGTACAGTCACCTGTCACCGCTCCCCCTGTGACTGTTCTGATGATAGTCTTGACACAGTGTGCTGCCCACAGTGTGATGTACGGGCCTCGTGTACACACCAGGTGTACACACACTTGGTGTACACCAGTGGTCAGCGATGGTTATATCAGTGCCAGACTTGTGAATGTCTTGTAAGTATATGTACATTCAAGTTCTGTACACACAGTATATGTACACACAATATATGTACACAGTATGTGTGTACACATATACACTCACAGTATATGTACACTGAAGTATTTGTACACAGTATTTGTACACACAGTATATGCTCACAATATATGTACACAGTATGTGTGTACACATTATATACACTCACAGTATATGTACACACAGTATGTATACAGTATATGTACACACAATATGCTCACATAATATATGTACACACAGAATATGTACACAGAGAGAGAGGTGGGTAGATTGCATTTTCTTAGACTGGAAGAAGGCTTTTGACACAGTTCCTCACAGGAGATTAGTGCAGAAGCTGGAGGACCAGACAGGGATAACATGGAAGGCACTACAATGGATCAGAGAATACCTGACGGGAAGACAACAATGAGTCATGGCACGTGGTGAGGTGCAGAGTGGGCACCTGTGACGAGTGGGGTTCCACAGGGGTCAGTCCTAGGACCAGTGCTGTTTCTGGTATATGTGAATGACATGACGAAAGGGAGAAATTCAAAGGTGTACCTGTTTGCAGACGATGTGAAGCTAATGCAAAGAATTCAGATGGATGAGGATCAGATAGGACTACAAAGGGATCTGGACAGGCTGCAAGCCTGGTCCAGCAGGTAGCTCCTGGAGTTTAAGTCCACCAAGTGCAAATTCATGAAGATTGGGGGAGGGCAAAAAAGACTACTGACAGAGTACAGTCTAGGTGGCCAAAGACTGCAAACCTCACTCAAGGAAAGGAATCTTGGGGTGAGTATAATACCGAGCATATCTGAGGAGCACATCAACCAAATAACTGCTGCAGCATATGGGCTTCTGGCAAACCTAAGAACAGTGTTTCGATACCTTAGTAAGGAATCTTTCAAAACTCTGTACACCGTGTACGTCAGGCCCATACTGGAGTATGCAGCACCTGTATGGAATTCACACCTGGTCAGATTTGTCAAGTTGAGAAAGTGCAAAGGTTTGCAACAAGACTAGTCCCAAAGCTAAGGGGTATGTTCTACGAGGAGAGGCTAAGGGAAATCAACCTGAGGACAGGAGGGATAGAGGGAACATGTTAACGACATATAAGATACTGAGAGGAAGTGACAAGGTGTACAGGGACAGAATGTTCCAGAGATGGGACACAAAAACATGGGTTCACAACTGGAAGTTGAAGACTCAGATGAGTCACAGGGATGTTAGGAAGTATTTCTTCAGCCACAGAGTAGTCAGGAAGTGGAACAATCGGGAGAGTGATGTAGTGGAGGCAGGATCCATACATAGCTTTTAGAAGAGGTATGATAAAGCTCATTGAGCAGGGAGAGAGTGGATCTAGTAGCAACCAGTGAAGAGGTGAGGCCAGGAGCTATGAATCGACCCCTGCAACCACAAGCAGGTGAGTACAGTATATGTACACACAGTATATGTACACACAATATATATACGATTATATACACCTGGAAAATCCTAGAGGGACTAGTACCGAACTTGCACACGAAAATCACTCACTACGAAAGCAAAAGACTTGGCAGACGATGCACCATCCCCTCAATGAAAAGCAGGGGTGTCACTAGCACGTTAAGAGACCATACAATAAGTGTCAGGGGCCCGAGACTGTTCAACTGCCTCCCAGCATACATAAGGGGGATTACCAACAGACCCCTGGCAGTCTTCAAGCTGGCACTGGACAAGCACCTAAAGTCGGTACCTGACCAGCCGGGCTGTGACTCGTACGTTGGTTTGCGTGCAGCCAGCAGCAACAGCCTGGTTGATCAGGCTCTGATCCACCAGGAGGCCTGGTCACAGACCGGGCCGCGGGGGCGTTGACCCCCGGAACTCTCTCCAGGTAAACTCCAGGTAAACACACAATATATGTACACACAGTATATGTACACACAGTATATGTACACACAGTATATGTACACACAGTATATGTACACACAGTATATGTACACACAGTATATGTACACACAGTATATGTACACACAGTATATGTACACACAGTATATGTACACACAGTATATGTACACATGGTACTTTCCACTTAGTGTCAGCATTATAATCCTTATAAAGAATAAACTTTGAATTTGAATTTGAATTTGAATCTAAAGTGTTTTGTCGGGTCAACAGAAAGGTGAAACTGACTGTTGGCCGTTAGAGTGTCCGCCAGTCCACTGTTCGAGTCCCCAGCGTGTGCCCGGAGACTGCTGTGCCCGGTGCCCAGATGACCCCTGTAAAGCTCTGGATGCCAACACCAGTTTGGGCTCCACTGGGAATTCTTCGAGCCCTCAGGGATGCCATTATATGGGAGCCATGTATCCTGCAGGGGCCCAGTGGGCGGCCCTCAACGACGACTGTGTCACCTGCAGGTGCCAGGTGAGTGTCAGGATGGCCCACCATGACACCAGGTGTCAGGTGAGTGTCAGGGTGACTCACCAAGACACCAGGTGTCAGCTGAGTGTCAGGGTGGCCCACCACGACACCAGGTATCAGCTGAGTGTCAGGGTGACTCACCAAGACACCAGGTGTCAGCTGAGTGTCAGGGTGACTCACCACGACACCAGGTGTCAGCTGAGTGTCAGGGTGGCCCACCAGGACACCAGGTATCAGCTGAGTGTCAGGGTGGCCCACCAGGACACCAGGTATCAGCTGAGTGTCAGGGTGGCCCACCAGGGCACCAGGTGTCAGGCTGTGTCGACGTCTGCACTGTAACAATTTAGGTACTGTCAGTTTGCCTAACAGCACAGACAGTCCTTAATTATCTGCTACTGTAATTCAGTATATCAGACAAGATTATTAACTGCATCAAGAGTCCTGTGAAATTATCAACTACTCTAAGCAATCAGTTATCCAGGAGGTCTATACTTTCAAACTAATTTGGTTTTACCCACAAACTTGTAACACCACTGTTTTTGTAGCCATTGTGGGATTTTCTCGAGTTTTTTTGCATGTGGAAGACTGGGCAGGGAGTCACACTGTGGTCCTGAGAGTTGGTCAGTGCAGTGCTGTACCAGTGAGTCATGAGGGTTATAATAGGAAGGGTCCCCAGATGGCACTTTCCTGTAATGGGTTTGTACCAGTGGTACTGACTGGGGCACCAGCACCTCTTCCAACAGATTAACCCAGCTTATAGGCACCAGGACTAACATTACAAACACATTTACCCTACTTCCAACAGATGAACCCTGGTTATCTAAAAGTTACTAAAAATTAACCTCGTTTCTAAGAGGTTAATACAGGTTATACATTCCATGACTGATATTATTAACACATCAACTTCACTTCCAAAAGGTTAACCAAGGTTATACATACCATGACTGATATTATTAACACATCAACTTCACTTCCAAAAGGTTAACCAAGGTTATACATACCATGACTGATATTATTAACACATCAACCTCACTTCCAAAAGGTTAACCAAGGTTATACATACCATGACTGACATTATTAACACATCAACCTCACTTCCAAAAGGTTAACCAAGGTTATACATACCATGACTGATATTATTAACACATCAACCTCACTTCCAAAAGGTTAACCAAGGTTATACATGCCATGACTGATATTAAACACATTAACCCCATTTCCACCAGGTTGACGCCATTCATCACAACTTTACTGATATATACTAATGGCGTTGCAATGTTGCAGATGCCGTACTGCTGGCAGGGCGAAGGCCGGGGCGGTGCGTTGCGTGTTCACCGGTAATCAAGTTGTGGACTCTTGTTGCACGACCGTTGCTTGTTGCAGGCTCTTGGCGTAGCATTGGGTAGTCAATCACACTCCCCCAGTTTCTCTCATGCACCACCGGTGTTTGGATCCTGCACGTTTCTCTCTCTAATGGCACACGCATGAGTGAAACAGACTACAGCGTACCCCATAAGCCACGAACACCACACGCACCACTGCAAGCATTCAACAGCATTTTCTATCTCCAATGGCACACTCACGAACACAGAAAACAGCGTGTCCACAAATTCCACTGTATGAAGGAGCCTTATAAGAGAACTGACTGTATATAATTGTTTATAGAGGAGCTTTATAAGAGAATTGTTTATACAGAAGCTAAGTGACTGTATATAGAGCTGTATAAGTGAAGTGACTGTATATAGAGCTGTATAAGTGAAGTGACTGTATATAGAGCTGTATAAGTGAAGTGACTGTATATAGAGCTGTATAAGTGAAGTGACTGTATATAGAGCTGTATAAGTGAAGTGACTGTATATAGAGCTGTATAAGTGAAGTGACTGTATATAGAGCTGTATAAGTGAAGTGACTGTATACAGGGGAGCTGTGAGAGGTGACTGCACTTACAGAACATTCAGTCAGTTTAGGTAACACTGGTGGTTTGGATCATCTCTTACTGAATGTACAAACAACTCCCTTGTTGGTACAAGTTACAGACACCACTGTTGCTGGTGTTTGAACTTGCGAACACTGCTTGTAAGTGGCCCGCTTGTAAGTGGCCTGCTTGTAAATGGCCCACTTGTAAGTGGCCCACTTGTAAGTGGCCCACTTGTAAATGGCCCATGTGTAATTGGCCCACTTGTAAATGGCCCACTTGTAAATGGCCCACTTGTAAGTGGCCCATGTGTAAATGGCCCACTTGTAAATGGCCCACTTGTAAATGGCCCACTTGTAAATGTCAGTGCACAAACATGACTTAGGGTTTTCTAAATCTTCACAAGGGATTGGATAACTTATAATATATAAGGAATTGGATGAGTAGAAGCTATGATATAAGGGATTGGATGAGTAGAAGCTATGATATAAGGGATTGGATGAGTAGAAGCTATGAATATAAGAATTGGATGAAGTAGAAGCTATGATATAGTGGATTGGATGAGTAGAAGCTATGATATAATGGGATTGGATGAGTAGAAGCTATGATATAAGGAATTGGATGAGTAGAAGCTATGATATAAGGGATTGAATGAGTAGAAGCTATGATATAAGGGATTGGATGAGTAGAAGCTAAGATATAAGGGATTGGATGAGTAGAAGCTATGATATAAGGGATTGGATGAGTAGAAGCTATGATATAAGGGATTGGATGAGTAGAAGCTATGATATAAGGGATTGGATGAGTAGAAGCTATGATATAAGGGATTGGATGAGTAGAAGCTAAGATATAAGGGATTGGATGAGTAGAAGCTAAGATATAAGGGATTGGATGAGTAGAAGCTATGATATAAGGGATTGGATGACACAGAAGCTAAGATATAAGGGATTGGATGACACAGAAGCTATAAAAAAGGGGATTGGATGATATAGCAGTTCTAATATATGGGTATGGATGGTATATACACTTTTCCTATACATACAGTATATAATTTGCTGGTCATCCAGGCTGTTGCTGCCAGCGCCGTACACACCAGCTCTCAGCAGTGAGTTCAGTGTGTTCAACACTAAGTTCATGTTCAATATTAAACTCATGTTCAATATTAAACTCATGTTCAATATTAAACTCATGTTCAATATTAAACTCATGTTCAATATTAAACTCATGTTCAATATTAAACTTATGTTCAATATTAAACTCATGTTCAATATTAAACTAATGTTCAATACTACCTTATGTTCAACACTTGCTAAGCTCATGTTCAATACTAAGTTCTTGTTCAATACTAAGTTCATTTTTAACACTACATTTGCATGTTCACTTTTCCTTTGCATGTTATGTTGAACAAATCACCAGAGAACCTTATACTTGGTTAATTTGTTCACCAGCATTGAACAGTTGCACGTTCAGTTTGTTGCTTGTTCACTGTGTTGTGTGTTCACTTTTGTGTTGCTTGTTCACTGTTGCTTGTTTGCCATTGCTTGATCGCTGTTGCTTGTTCATATGTTCACTTGTGTCATGTTCACTTGTGTCATGTTCACTTGTGTCATGTTCACTTGTGTCATGTTCACCTGTGTCATGTTCACTTGTTCTGTTCACTTGTGTCATGTTCCTTGTGTCATGTTCACTTGTGTCATGTTCACTTGTGTCATGTTCACTTGTGTCATGTTCACTTGTGTCATGTTCACTTGTGTCATGTTCACTTGTGTCATGTTCACTTGTGTACATGTTCACATGTTCATGTTCACTGTGTCATGTTCACTTGTGTCATGTTCACTTGTGTCATGTTCACTTGTGTCATGTCACTGTGTCATGTTCACTTGTGTCATGTTCACTGTGTCATGTTCACCTGTGTCATGTTCACTTGTGTCATGTTCACTTGTGTCATGTTCACTTGTGTCATGTTCACCTGTGTCATGTTCACCTGTGTCATGTTCACTTGTGTCATGTTCACTTGTGTCATGTTCACTTGTGTCATGTTCACTTGTGTCATGTTCACCTTGTGTCATGTTCACTTGTGTCATGTTCACTTGTGTCATGTTCACTTGTGTCATGTTCACTTGTGTCATGTTCACTTGTGTCATGTTCACTTGTGTCATGTTCACTGTTGTGTTGCACGTTCACTGTTGTGTTGCATGTTCACTGTTGTGTTGCACGTTCACTGTTGTGTTGCATGTTCACTGTTGTGTTGCATGTTCACTGTTGTGTTGCATGTTCACTGTTGTGTTGCATGTTCACTGTTGTGTTGCATGTTCACTGTTGTGTTGCATGTTCACTGTTGTGTGCATGTTCACTGTGTGTTGCATGTTCACTGTGTGTTGCATGTTCACTGTTGTGTTGCATGTTCACTGTTGTGTTGCATGTTCACTGTTGTGTTGCATGTTCACTGTTGTGTTTATATTTAAATCAATGTATCTTAAAAATGTTTTATTAACTTTCTGTTCTTCTCAGAACATGACAGAAGTCCTGGTAAGAACAGTGAACAGGGGGGAGGATGAATAGTGATGAACATTATTATTAGTTACAATTATACTAATGACCTGTACTAGTTACAATTATACTAATGACCTGTACTAGTTACAATTATACTAATGACCTGTACTAGTTACAATTATACTAATGACCTGTACTAGTTACAATTATACTAATGACCTGTACTAGTTACAATTATACTAATGACTGTATAGTTACAATTATACTAATGACCTGTATCTAGTTCAATTAACTAATGACTGTACTAGTTACATTAACTAATGACCTGTACTAGTTACAATTATACTAATGACCTGTACTAGTTACAATTATACTAATGACCTGTACTAGTTACAATTATACTAATGACCTGTACTAGTTACAATTATACTGACCTGGTCTAGTTACAATTACTAATGACTCTGACTAGTTACAATTATTACTATGACTGTATAGTTTACAATTATCTAATGATTACTGTATGTTACAATTTCTAAATGACCTGTACTTGTTACAATTATACTAATGACTGTACAGTCTACAATACTGACTGACCTGGGGTAAAGAAACAGTGGACCCGGGTTTTGAGATGACATTAATCCGTCCCAGAGAGCTAGCCTTTAACCGATTTTTTCGTTATCCGAATTAATTTTCCCCATAAGAAATAATGGAAATTCAACTAATCCGTTCCAGGCACCTAAAAGTATTAAACAAATGATTGCCGATGTTATGAATGAAAAGAAGTTGGATGTCCTGGCCATAAGCGAAACAAAGCTGAAGGGGGTAGGGGAGTTTCGGTGGGGGAAAATAAATGGGATTAAATCTGGAGTATCTGACAGAGTTAGAGCAAAGGAAGGGGTAGCAGTAATGTTGAAGGATCAGTTATGGAAGGAGAAAAGAGAATATGAATGTGTAAATTCAAGAATTATGTGGATTAAAGTAAAGGTTGATGTGAAAGTGGGTAAAATAGTATGTATGCACCTGGAGAAGAGTAGGAAGTAGGAGAGAGAGAGATTTGGGATTGTTAATAATGTTATAGGAGACTTTGAACCAAGTAGAGAGTTTGTGGTAGGAGATCTGAATGCTAAGTAGAGAAACTTTAGAGAGGTGTGTAGGTAAGTTTGGGTGCCAGGTGTAATGATAATGGAAGCCTTTGATTAACTTTGTATAGAAGGGTTTAGTTATAGGTATACAATTTAAGAAAAAGAGGTAAATAAGTATACAAGATAGATGTAGGCGAAATGACAGTAGTTATGTTGGATCATGTATTGGTTAGATAAAAGACGTTGAGTAGACTCAGGATTGAACAAGTTATAGAGGGCCACAGTATATCAATCACTTTTCTAGTTGTAGCTACACTGAGATAAAAGTTAGATGGGATACAAGGAGAATAAGAGCATCAGGAAAGAGAGTGTGAGAGTTATTAAACTAAAAGAAGGAGGCAGTATAGGGTAAGATATAAACAGCTAATTGGAGGAAGATGGGCAATAGAGAGCAAGGCAATGGGTCAAAGAGGTATGGGGTAGGTTAAAATGAAGTGTAGAGTGTTCAGCAATATTGTGGTTACAGGAAAGTGGTGCGGAGAGGGAAGAGGACGATTGGTGGAATGATGATGAAAGAGAGTAGTAAGGAGAAAAAGTTAGCATACGAGAAGTTTTTACAAAGTAGAAGTGATGCCAGGAGGAAGATAATGGAGAGAAAAGAGAGAGGTTGAGAGAGTGGTGAAGCAATGTAAAAAGAGAGCAATGAGAGGGTGGGGAGATTTATCAACAAATTTTTGAAATAAGAAAAATTTTGGAGGAGATTAACAAGTTAAGGAAGCCTAGAGAACAAATGGATTTGTCAGTTAAAAATAGGACAGAAAAGAATAACAGAGCGGCTAAAAGAGGA